GCTTTTGAAGTGTGTAAAACTCCAGTTTATCCCATACATAGTCAAAATAGGGGGGGGTGATACAATAGACCATCCCCCTTGTCAAATATTGGTGATATATCCCCACCCCCACCCCCCGGATCTACGCCTATGGGTGTCGACATCCTGAAACATTTGTCCAGCCAGCAGTTGACCAAGGAAGAATCTTATTAGATGACCCACACTTCGATAATTCCATGTTCGTTTTATCATTTTATTATTTTAACATTAATTTTATTTAAAAAATAATCTTTAATTCATATACAGTATTATGCATATTGCAGTAAAAAAAATAGACCTATCCTTAACAATATAATAAGCGTGGGGCTATATTTATTAGGAAAATACAGTTACATATTTAATTATTGAAACAGCTAACTTAAAATACGATAACAAAATTTACACATAGGATAAATTTGGAAGTAGCTGTATACACAACTTGAATAAGCTACAGAAGTTGCTTTTTTTCATAGGAAATATTTCATGTTTAGGTTCGTGTGCAACAGACAAATTCAATTTGTAACATCGAATCGCGCACCGCGATGAATTTTAGGAGTGTTTTTGCACTAGGACTACGACGCGCGCCTGTGCGGAAAGAGATGGGTATACACTCCCCCAATCGTCGTTTGTTGAGCGGTAATTGAAAAAAATTACGTTCGTAAAACGAGGTTGATTAGAAACCGAAGAAATTTACTTTAAATTCAACATTAAGTATGAAAAATTAAGGAATTCCTTGAATCAGTGAACCTTAATAAATTAAAGACAACTGCAACAGGGGCCCCGGCAAAAATGGCCCGGGAAAAAATGGCCCCGGAAAAAATGGCCATAGTAAAAATGGCCCCAGTCAAAATGGCCCCAAATGACAGGTAGGTAAAAATAGCCCCAATAATAAAATTCTGTATTAAAACTGATTTTTAAAAAATCATTATATGCATTTTTTTAACTGAAATAATTTAGTTTTAAAAGGAATCTAACATCAAATTAATTGCCATTTACATTTTACTTTTTGCAGGAATTACATATTCAATGATAAAATATTCAAAGCCATGAATAACACTTTTTAATTTTTTTTTCATTTAAATGTTTAAAAATAGCAACAACATAATCAATAAATCAACATAAATCATGCATTTATTAATACTAAAATAATTTATTTGTAGATTTTAAGACTTTGACTAGTTTTTAATATAAACATTTCGTGTTTTTTCCGTTTTAAAATGTTTGTGCTCGTTAGCAAATTAGATTTATCGTTGATGCATGGAGGTATAGTTGATGTAATCCATGACAGTACTACATACCGCAAAATACTAGGCCTCTGAAAGTCCCATAGTGGTAGTTGCCAGGTTATCAGATATTTTTATTTCAAATTTCGCTAAAATGGTCTATAAAATTTCCTGCAAGTTTGTCGTTCAAAACTGGTGCCGAATCAATGTTTTAGAGCTTCCCATCAAAGCCAATAATAATAATAATATAAATAATTGGTCGCTAATATAGTAATAGGCGTAATATTTAATAATAATAATTTTTAAAAATACCTAACAGCCGCCCATACAAAAAAGATCTATTAATTAATCAATCACCAGGGTATTCCTAAAGCTACTCATAGGAGCTAAAAACCAAGTTATTTTAGTTCTCAAATATGCATTGGTTTATGTTGATTTATTAATTCAATTTTGCTACAGGGTATTTTACAGCATTTCAGCAATTGAGGGCCATTTTTTATTTATTGATTTAATTCTTGCTTGTTACAGTATTTAAATATTTGAAGATTAAAAATATATATATATATATTATTTCTATTACTGAATTTTTTCATTGGAGACGATTTCCCTGACGAAAAAGTGGGCTTATTCGGGGGTTGCGCAAAATCTCTCGAAAGTGTTCCATGTTGGCTGGGGGTGAATAACCCCTGAAAAATATGACAATTTAGGGGTTTTAAAGGCTTATTTAATCGTTTTTGGGTCTTCTAATATGTAGGAAATACATATAGGCCTATATATATATTTTATTTATTTTTATTTATTTATTTGTGTGGAATTTAAATATTGAATATTATTGTAAGTTTAATAGGAGCATAATTAAAATATGTAATTTACAGTGAATTGTTTTACTAAGTTACAATCTTTTTTAAAACAACAGTTTTTTAAAATTTTCATACAACACAGACTTATTTATTTGAATGTTAGGCCTATGACCTTTTAATTTTTACTTAACTAGTGTGTCAATATTCTATTTATATGACCCCCATAGTCTTCCTTTATGCAATTTAAGTAGTTAAAGTATGATATCTTAGCCCCACCCATATGTTTAATGTAGGCGATTCATGAATATAATTATAATATTGCATAATTAACGCTGAATTGATTCCAAGATTCACTGAACTCAATTTAATCTTTACCATCAACTTTTAATAATTCTGTTCCGTATTTAATTTCTCTGATTTCCCTTTCCTTAATGTGTGACTCACCTAATTCCTTTATATGACCTGTTCCATTTAGCAAAGGAGGTAAGAATTTATCCAACATCGTGCCTTTAAAAACACTTTCAATATCCTAGATATTCTAACCTGGAAAGACAGAATATCTTGTTAATGTGAATGTTGTCTTATTAGGCAGACCCGTATCCTGCCTTAAATCCATTCTGGACAGATGCATTTGAGTGTTACTCTATTTTCGAAGAGTTGCCAAACCCCTAAATATACAGTACTTGTATTTCAGGGGTTATTATATTTCTCTCTACAAACGGTTCTGAAATCATTCGACAAAGTTGGAAGGATTACTTGCTAGGATGCTGTATGACAAACAAGTTGACTGGAAGCAATTTCTCCGTATATATACTAAAGACTAGTGGTGGACTTTTATAAATCGCGAGAATCTTCTCGGAATGTATTTGTGGTGTACAAACTATTTCAAGAAGTTGTAAGTTAAATCATTCTTTTTTGATGAATAGCTGGACCACCCTAGTCATCATAACATTACTATAACTTGCCAATTTCTCAGGACTGATGTAAGATACTGAGTTATCCCATTTTTAAAATTACGAATCTTGTACTAGTTAGTTATGTAGGCCTATATTAAACAGGGCCCAGTCAAGGTAAAACTACCAATTTCCTGTCAAAGTTTTCTCAGAGGTTTCGTCATGTGGATCCCTACTATTTGAAATTGGCAAGAGGCCACCCAGAGTCTCACCTCAAATCCAAAATGACCACAAAAATCTAAAATGGCCAACAAAATTACAATTATTAGAGATTTACGGCAAATTATTCGGTTTTGTCAATTTTTTCAGCTGGTTTGTCATCTCAGACCTAAATATTTCAATGTGAAAGGGTGGGCGTGGAGTGGGAATCAAGAATAGGCCTGAAATCCAAGATGATCGCCAAATTCCAAAATGGCCGCCAAAAATACAATTATTAGAGAAATGTAACTTATTACTTGTTACTTGGTTTTGTCGGTGTTTTTCAGTATAGATTTGTCATTTACAGATCAATCGATTGCCACCCAGAATTTCTTTTGAAATCCAAGATGGCCACCAAAATCCAAAATGGTATAAACTTATGAAATAAATTTGTTTCTGTTTACATTTTTTAGAGAATTTGTTATTCGTAAACCTAAACCATTGCACTTAACATATTAGGTCCAGCCAAAATTCGACTTCATAATTAAAATGACCGCCAAAATTCTAATGGCTATATATACTGCTTACTATTTTGTTAATGTATCAAACTTTTTTCTGTGGATCTACCATCCGGAACCTATGTTTGTAAACATTAACTTAGGAGCCAGTAACAGCATAGGACCTAAAATCCAAGATGGCCACAAATTCTTAGGCAAAAATTAATTACAATTTTTTAAAATGTTTAAATAATAATATATATATATATATACGGCATATATATATATATATATATATATATATATATATATACGACATATATATATACCGTATATATATATATATATATATATATATAGAAATAAACAAAAAAAGATAAATACAGAGTTCG